GTACTGCTGCCCTACGCCTTGCTGCTTTTAAGAAAATAGCTCAACTCAGTGGATAGAGCACTGCTCCCTAAGGGCCTAGATTCTATTTGTGGCTTTGCAGTTAGGTATACTGGGCAAAAACTTTTTTTTGGCAAACTTTTTGCCAAAAGCCCTGCAGTTGCCAAAAGTGAATTGCATATGCAGATTGTTGGCTTCCCAAACCTGCCAGAATAAACACTCTTTTTACACTTGTGAAATAAGCAGCATCCTGGTTTTTTTAATCACTTCATTCCAGAATAGTGTTTGATTCTTTATTCCTTTACATTGGCCCAAAAACTTCATGGTAAAGTGAACAATAGTTTTGTTCATCCTGAAACAAGCCCTTTGATTTCAGAATTGCCAGCAAACCAAAAATACATTTGTCCAGCTCTGCTCTCTCTGCTTCTCCCACAGTCCCAAGAAGCTCTCTTGTGGGCACAGTGTTAAGAAATTAAAGCCAGAAGGGACCACTAGATCATCCAATCTGACCTCCAGTGTAACCATTGAATCTCACCTCTTTATTCCTGTCTTGAGCCTAATAACAAGCTTGGGTAAAGCCCCAAGCTGGATTTTAGACTTCACAAGATGGAAAATCCACCGCTTCCTTGCTGGTTTGTACAGTGGTTAATCACAAATTCAAATGAGGAATTGTCTAGCTTCAGCTACCAGCCATTGGTTCTTACGTCTGCGCTGGCTTGATTAAACAGCCCTTACTACTTAAACACTAATTGAATCACTCTTGATCTTTTTGGATAAGCTAAACAGACTGAGCCCCTTAAATCTCTCAAGGCTAGGGACTAGTGCTGGACCTAGAATGATTTTTGTGGCTCTCCAATTTTCCTCACATCCTTTTAAAAAAGTGGACAGTAGCAGTGGATGCAGTGTTCCAGTATCATGCTCAATGGTGTCTGCTGCAAGAGCAAGATCACCTTGCTGCTGCCTGATCCCTGTTCCTGTACCAGGATCCAGTTGCTCCATTCTGTACTGAGCAGGGGCATGTAAGGGTATTTGTGCTGGCAGCCTGATGCATCATAGCAGAGAGTAGCTCCATTCTCTGCTTTGTGGCATGTTTGCAGGTGCTGGAAGGAGAAGGAGCTCCGTATGATCTGGAACCCAGGGAAGTGGTTAACACATTTCTTGTGGTCCCTTGACACTTCTGAAATGTTTTCATCCCTCAGGCTAACAGGCAGGCATGACTGCAGTGAAGACGATCTTCAATGCAGTAAAGATGTTTAACTGAAGACTGAGTTTGCTGTAATAAATAATGTAGTGCTGAGAAAAAGAAATGATAGAACCTAAATACTAGAACACATGGAAACAACAAGGCATCCTGAAGTTACTGCTTTCTAATCTGGAGAGACGTTATGTGTGGCTATGTAACTTAATGTGGCAACCTTCACTTGAAAGCAGTTTTTTGTCAGGAATGTCTTAAGTTTTTAGACGCTCTATATAGAGTGTCATCTGTTACTGCACAGGTGAACAGTGGGCTTTGCTACTGAGTCTGCTCTCTGCCAATGGTCACCCTCTAATGAGGAATATATTGCAGTGGTCAAAGCTTCTGTTTGCCTTGTTTGCTTTTATCTATGAGACAACATTAAGCAGAGGTCTGTATGGCTACGTACACCTGCACGCATTGCATACTGTTCTGGCGGTTCAAAGAATCATGTGAAGTGATGGGTGTCAAAATAATACAAATTGATACTACCTCTCTCTTCATCCATAGATCCCAAAGGGCCTTAGCAGCTATCGCTGACCCCATCTTAACCAATGGGTAAATGGAGGTACAAAGGTGGAAGAGATTTATCTATACTCACTGAGAAGCAGAACAAGGACTACAACTCGGTATAATACAAAAGACTGCCCATGCTTAAGTAACAAGGGCCACAGCTTACCAAGGGGTGGTGGTGAAAAGGGCTGGAAGAGGCTAGGAAGACTTTTTATAAGACACTTTAGTTTCCCTGAAAAAAAAACAACCTGGTTCTGACTGCTCTTGTTTGGAAGGTTTCTCAGGTTCTGGAATTCCTACTATAAATGCACCCCAGAATACCAAATCGCCTGCTGACTGGGCAGCTTGCCTGGGGAAGTGGGAGGCCAGCATCCAAGCTTCTGCTCTGTCTGAGTAGAAGCAGATGTTTAGGAGGTGGGGAAAGCAGGTTTTTTTTTACCCATTCTTTTAAAGGTTTTGCTTGATTCTGTTATCAGGGAAAAATGAGAGCTTGAAGCCTCAGCCCTTTTCATGAAATGGCATTCTTGTTTTCTGGCCCCCCTAGTGCTGGGCTCAGCATCGCTGAAAACCTTTACATCAAGACTGCAGGCTTTTCCAAAAGCAATATGCGATGTCAAACTAAATATCAAACCATGACTGCAGCAGTCTGTCCACTAAGACTCTATGGACCCAGGTCTACTGAAGCACAATCCAGTAAAAAACATTGTGAAGACTTCCTAGCACTTCAGTTTTTGATGGCTGAAATTACTGGGGTGTGACCAAACCTGATTTTGCTTCAGCCGCATATATGTTCTGGCCTGGTTTGAGGTGAGGGTGGAGGAAAGCTCATAGGAAAACATTAATATAAACATTCAGATAGCTAAGTTTTTCCAGGTTCCTCTGAAACAGCAAAGTCCAGGCTTAATAACTGTGGACAGACTACAAGCTAAATATTTAAAGTATTGCACAGAAATGCAGACACACAGAGCAAAGGGGGCTTGCCAGTAAGGCATTCAATCTGCATGCAAAACACTTCTAAACTCTTGTTTCTCCTTTAAATGCTTAAAACTGAAAGGATCTTCTCATTACACTTTAATAATTTACTCTACTCTTTCAGTCTTTGCCCTTTGCTCAGCCACTGATGTCATGCACCAAGAATATGAAGGGATGAGAACATCTGAATGAATTTTCCCTCCTTTTGCCTACCAGCCCCCAAACTCTTTGTTGCCTCACAGAGTGACATCCCTTCCAAAGGACTGTTTTTATAAAAAGGATCCCTCTCTCTTACATCCTTAGGATGGACACGGAATTAATCTAGAGCCACATGAGTTTCAGGTGATATTTTCAAATGTGCCTATCTCCTGTGGAGTGGCCCACTCTATCTTATGCACAACTTTTTATGGGATTTCTTGAGGGTTAGATTAGTCAGCTGCACCTTTGCTAAATCACGCTATTTAAATTACCATTTATGCCGGTCAAAACAAACCTGGTATCAGTTTTCCAACGGAACATCTATTTCATTGAAATCTAAAGCCATGTTTAGGTGGCACGCTTCTGGCCTTGGCCATAGTGCCCTTAAGCACACTGCATTGCTGTCAGATGGTTTCCTCCTAAACTGAAAACAGTATAGCTGCCTGTGTATAGCACTTGCAGAAAGCTAATTTAGCACTAATGAATGATGGTGCCAATTAGCCCACCCATGTAGACACAGCTATGTTGCTCACAGCTCAGGAAGCAGCCTGCCCAGCACAGCATGTTTGAGGGCACCACTGCTGGTGCTGGCACATTTACAATGTATTTTGCAGAAAGCATCAATTGTAATGACATTTGACAAGCTTTAAAACAATTCAACACTGAAATGAAAGTGGTCTGAGTTCTGGTCTTGCTTTGACATTTCATTTTAATTAAAAAAAAATTATACTCTGTGATGTATCACTATCAAAATAGCACATTTCATTTAGATATGGCCCTTTCAATATATGTGCAGAGTGCAATACTGCATTCAAAGAGACTGCTTCTTCATCCCGATTCAGGACAAACTCTGACTTCAAATGCTGGCATTTCCCAGAGGACTGGCTCCATATTCTAATCAGCTCTAGTTGCCAGTGTTCTCGGAGAATGTTTAAATATTAAGAAAATAAACATGGAAATTACCATAGGATTTTCAGAGTGCGTCAGCACCATGCTTCCCTCCCACATGCAAATCCTTTCAAGGTTTTACTACCCTCCCCCCTCCCCTTAAAGGAATTTAAAACTAGGTGAAAGTTTTCTAGTATGGAAAAACAGTGACTTGTGGCAAATGATAGAACATACCCATTTTGAAAAATCACTGAAGAAGGGAAGGTGTGAGCAGTTATAAACTTAGTGAATTCTTCCTCCACATAATGTCTTAAGAGAACACTAAAGCCACTAGGCTCTTAAGAAACCACCAGTTCAGTTTCCCCACAGTTGTACCCAAACTACCCAAACTCTGGTTTGGAGCCAAGTGATACGATGATCTTAATCTTTTTAAGCTATGTGTATTGCTTCTAGGACAGTCTCTGCTAGCTGGCCAACTAGAACAGGAATAGAGTGGTGGACTGTGGGTCAGGAATGAGGGAGACTGCCAGAATTTGCTAGGAGCCTGTGATTGGAAAAGCAGGCAGTAGCAATGGTGGATCAGAACTGAGGGGCATTGGCAGAACTGTGTGTGAAAAACCAGGTCTGGAATGAGGAGTGGGGAAATGGGACATCAGGACAGAGATGCTTTGGCAAAGTTATGCAAAATCCTGGGCCTGCAGGTCAGGATTCAGGGGGAAGATTGCATGGCAGCTGCTGGCACAATAAGGCCCTGACCTGCAGCCCATTTGTGAATCAGGTGAAGACTTCCCTTTGTCCTTCATGAGCTGTGGATCAGACCCCAACTAGCTTGGTATCTCTTGCTCTTAGGAACACTGATTTCTAGTAATCATCTAATAGCTCCTATCTGGAACTGCAAAGCTGGGAAGGAAGGGTCTGAAAGCAAGCACTGGAGGAGGAAAACAGGGTCAGAACATGACAGGAGGACAAGTGGCTGGAGGGGAAATTCATTCCGCAATTGCAGGTATCACCAATATTTGCCTTCAAAGGAAAGTAAAAATGCTTTCAAAGGAAAGGTCCATACTATAATGCTTTGTGTCTGGCTGGTTCTCTTGCCCTAATCTACTTGCACTGTGGACAAGAACCGGTTCCACATCCTTTCACTATGAAGAGGGGCACCAGTTTTTCTTCTTTTCACATCAGCACATTAACACAGAGGCAGGTCTCTTTTGTTCCTTTATTACATGTTACCCAGGCATGGTAAAGCAGAAGCCAGCCTCAGGCCTGCAGACAGCAGAGCGCCGCAATTAGAAAGAGACCTAGTGAGAGGTTGCCACCAAAGTGGCAAAGACTTTTTTTTTTTTTTTTAAGATTTCATTTTAAATCTTTAAATAAAAGTCATAGCTCTGGTCAAACCAGAATGCTACTCACTGTAGCAATCAAAGTCTGTCCTTCTGAAGCCCAATTATCTTTTTCCTACTTTAAGTAAGGGGAAAATGAAGGTAAAAATTTGACAGACATTAAACTGGCCTAAAGATCTATAACACATCCCATTGTGTACAAGGCCCTTTTCCCACTTGGGGTATATACGCAGAAGCATGTGTCTGCACCTCAGCCCAGAAATTGAGAAGGCATCTCGGGGCAGCAGCAATGTTTTGCATCCAAAGATGTGAACATGGGGTGCATCTCTCTCTAACCATTCCAAGCACTGACAGTCAAAATGCTAAGCTGCTTACACAGGCTAATGGCGACCTATCTATGCTGAGGCTCTCTTTTTCCTTTGCTCCCCCGTTGCTCCTTAACATCAAACCAATATCCCTCTTGCGTGTTTGCATTCCCCAGCAAATCAACTACAGTGTATATGGCACATCTTTTAGATTTGTAAAGGATAAGATACAGCGATGAGGCCAGGAATTGGCTCCAATTATGATTATAACCAAGCTGAAGTTCAGTGTCTCTTTGCTTTTCCGGCTGTAAAAATCCCAACCAGTTTGTCCCCAGTACGAACACATTTGTTCCCCTCCCTCCCCTCCCCCCAAATCTAAGAATGTCCAAGTCCACAAATCCAAGGAGGGTTGGGAGCTACAGTTGGCTACTGCTGGAAGTTGGAGAGAGGGGAGGTTGGTGTTCAGCAACTGGTACAAGAGGGAGTCGGAGAGGGTTCAACGTGGAAAAACAAAATGTAAAGGGAAGAGGAAAAAGTAATACTGAGGTTCAAGGGTCGGATGTCTATGTTCTAAAGAAAACAGCCGGCACAGGAAGGGTGGGGGGGAGTTTGCATTTGGTTTGGTTTTTTGGTAAGTGTCACTCACGGTAGAAAACATATTCGGTGTAAGAGGTCCAGATCTTGTCATCTGTCTGGTCATGGGCAAAGGCGCAGGTGCCTGTAGAGTTGCATGCCACCATGTGGAAGCCAGCATCAGCCAGTTTGTCAAAGGCTTGCTCCAGGAAGGTGAATTTGAGGTAGTACCTGGAGGTGTACCTCTCTGGGGGTCTGTCAGGGTCCCTGCTTTCATTCAAGGTGTCCCCAAAGACTTCCTTGGCTAGCGAGGTCTTGCCACACACCATGATCCTTGCCACCCTGCGGAACTTGGCATCTGTTTGGCTGTCCCTGCCGAGGGTGTAGGAGCCCCGATAGCCGATGGTGATGAAGCCTGATCTGCGGATATCCGGGCCTGCACCACCCCCACTGGCAGTGACAGAGCCCCCAGGGGTGCCAGTTCCGGCATTGGTCAGGGCAGCACTGGCAGAGGCCAGATTGCGGGCAGTGTCAGCATTGGGCGACAGCTCTTCCGGGTCACTTTGGCATGGGTCATCCCCAATGGAGTTCTGCTTGCTGAGTTTTGGGGCCAACATCTTGACAAGCTCTGGCAGCTTGAAGTACTCAGCTTCCCGCTGCAGGCGACTCCTCTCTGGGAAGTGGTCAGGCAGCACCAGCTGCTGGTCTCGCATGTAATCCAGGATGTAGCGGAAGAGAAAACCATCTCGGTCCACGAAGAACCGACCCTTGCTGTCCCGGGCCAAGGAACGGATGTTCTTCTGGGTGAACATTTCCCAAAGCAGTGACCCGGGCACACTGACCAGTGTGGGGTGGCGAGTGATGTACACCTGTCCACCCACATTGAGCTCCACGATCTCTGGGAAAGAGAACTCCTCATTGGTTTTGGCACAGCTTGCATTGTCCGCCAAGGCCATGATGAGGCACTGTCTCCTTCTCAACTGCAAAAGCAAGCAACAGCCCACAATGATGTTAAATACACCAGGCAACACAACACAGTGCTCCTTTCTAAAACCCTCTATGCATCTGGATCTTGCAGCCCTTCTCATCTGAGTGATTTTTGGAAGGGCATCAGTTAAGGTCACCTGGTGCACTGCCTACCTCAGAGCCTACCCCTGTCTCTGAGATACTTGAAGTCGGCTGGGCAATTTGCTATTGTCCCTAAATCATGGCATCTCAGTGGCAAACATTGCTGGGGAAACCCATGCCTCTAAAACTGACTCCCCAGCCAAGATATGACTGATGTCACATTTGACCTTCAGGGCATGTTCTAACGCCTGTCTGTTTCCTCAGGCTGTTGCCCAAGTGAGCAATTTCAGGTTATTCTGTGGACTGAGAGTTCAATCAGAGAGTTTTTGCTGACATCGGTCAATTTATTCTGTATTTTTAAACAGCATAGAAACTGTCACCCACTTGATCTGACTAGTGACCTGTCTTGCCTTGTATGTTGTCTGACAGTGGATAGGAGCAGCTCCCTGAGGAGGGTAAGGCACCCCTCAAGGGATACTTACATGAGAACACCCACAAGGGGTAACTTTTCACGTAACCCCAGAGTAAACTTCTGCCCTGAAACTGGATGTTCCTATGAAGATTTATTCCAGGCAGTACAACTGTGATGTTAAGTTCCTAACGCACAGAAATGACCAATCCCTCTGGAATCCTCATTCTGTTTACGGGCCCAGAAAGGATCTGATGGAGATGCCGTGGACAAAATTTGAAACAGGTGGAAGAAGGCACAATTCCACTGAAGGCGATGGACCACCAACCACCACCGAGTCTGATGTTAACCCTATAAATATTTAAATAAACTCTTATTTCCAGCACAAAGTGAAGCTTTACAGTGTGCTTTCTACAGTCAAACTGAATAGCTTTTAGAAAGGTCATATCACCAAATCCAGCTTCTGAAGAACCTGGAACTTTGGCTGTTTGAAATCCAAATATTACCAGTAGATATGAAATATGATGATCAGTTTTGGCTGAACTATCTTTGCTGAAGGAACTTGTGAGGAGGAAGAAGGGGCAAAGATAGGAAGTTACAAATAAAGGATTGGCTTTGGGCTCTGCCCAGCCCTTGGTGTCAGTTAAAATTAGCCTTGAAGACACTCTAATTTCTATTTGATTGTCCATGTCCCCAGGGACCATTCTGTTAGTCAAAAACGGTTACACAAAAAAGCACTCGAGTAACTTCCTTTCCTTTAGGCGTCACTTGCACCCCTTCGCAGTGGGGCTTTGAGAGCACAGGAGCGCTGCTGTGAGAGTACTGCATAGAACTGTTACAGCGACCTTACACCACTCACAGTTAGTTACCCTACACTGGGTGTATTCCCCAGAGGCCCGTTCTGCTATCTGAATACCAGTCACGTAAAAGATGATAATGTAACAGACAGGTGAGGTGGATGCTCTCTTTGCAATGGCCCAAAACCGACTGCAGTGAGGGGGGGGCTACGGCCTAGGATTCTGAATTGAGCTCTGAGGCTGCTGGCTTCCTCCACACTGTTTTCTATTTCTAACAAAGACACAGCAAAAGTTTTTAAAAGTCTGAGTCCCCTCACCCCCGCTTCCCGCTCACACAGAGATCAGAACACAGCCTATTGCTTGCTCTTCACTTGGCACAAGCCTGTGCTGCAACAACACACACCTACAGTGAAAACGGTAATCATGCAACCACCAGCTTCTGACTTCCTAGATCTACTGCTTGTGTGGCTTTGAGTCGCAGCAGCTCTTTCCTGCCAGGCACAAACTGCGAGTGCCATTAGCCCCGTGGAGGCAACACAGCTACGTGCTTGAACTCCCTCAAAGGAAGCGCTGTGGGCCAAGCTGCAGTTCCAGGCCACTTATGTCAGGCAACGGCAAAGGCAGAAGGAGCACAGCTGGTTCTCTCCACTGTGCAGCTGGACTCCCGGTAATGACACACAAACTAAACGCACAGCTTGCTTATGAAGGCAACACATTTGTTATGGAAGCTGGAGGCTTTTGGAGCCAGGTTCTTCTCCCAGCCTAACGTAAGGGCAGCACAACAGCACCAAGGGTTATGGGGCTGCACTCTACTCGCCCTTTTTGTGATGCTGAGCACGGCTTGCCCCGAAACATGGAACCTGCTGACTGTCACTTTGCTGATGGCTGCAAAGGGGCGCTCTGAAGCTCACTGAAGACATGGGAAGACTTTCTCAGCTGTGCTCAGCTGGCAGAAAGCAACTCTTAGCTCAGATGACAATGCACCAGCCAAGGAGCAGTGGGGTGTGGGTG